CACAGGACCTCGCGCCACACAAGCACCCCACCTCATGATGTACTAGAATGAATACTGTAACAGCTCGAGCAAACTACACGTAACACACATATGTTTTTTCCAGTGTGCCATAGGCCCCCGCGCCATACAAGCATCCCACCTCATGATGTACTAGAATGAATACTGTAACAGCTCGAGCAAACTACACGTAACACACATATGTTTTTTCTCGGTTATAATTCTAGGAATGCAAACTTACTACATGCAATAGTACAATGTAGTGCAATTACGCAAGGAATATAGGTGGAAGCGTAAGTGGACACGAAAAGAAGGAATACCGTGCGTTGAAAAATGATAGAAGAAGAGAAAAGGTTGGGACTTGGGGGGAAAACGGTAGGAGGAAGACAAACATGTAGAGGTTGGATGAAAAAGCAACAGCATTTACATCAAGAAAACACCACCAACACGCCCATTAAGAACACCCACAGATGATTTGAGTGATCCCATCACTTAGACACCGTTATTTGACGTTCTCCTTGTGTCTAAGGAACTGAGGTTGACGCTAATCATGACATTATTGGTCCTAACAAAAGCCCTAATGTGTTTCACAGGCCCTCCCGCCATACAAGCACCCCACCTAATGATGTACTAGATTGAGTACTGTAACAGCTCGAGCAAACTACACGTAACACACATATGTTTTTTCTCTGTTATAACTCTAGGAATGCAAACTTACTACATGCAAGAGTACAATGTAGTGCAATTACGCAAGGAATATAGGTGGAAGCATAAATGGACACGAAGAGAAGGAATACCGTGCGTAGTAAAAAAGATAGAAGAAGAGAAAAGGTTGGGACTTGGGGGGGAAACGGTAGGAGGAAGAGAAACATGTAGAGGTTGGTAGAAAAAGCAACAGCACACTAACTTCCAGGTCTTCTGTATAATCCGGTTGTTAGCCCGTCTTGTTGAATAATATTTGAAAGAATACTACATGGACAAAATGTATGTATACATAGAACTAATCAGCAAACCGGTCCTTCCATGTATTAAGAAGAGTACATTCCCTTTTGAACTGTGGTGCATAGCCGCTGTAACCACGACTATTGTTATTCCCGCCAGTTTAAATGTCGCAGTCAGTTAACAAACGCACGATAGCTGCATCGTCAAGGGTTACGACTGCTTATACAACCAAAGGAACAGTGGATAGGATATAATGTGTTAAGCCTGAGCAGAGAATGTGGAGTCTCTGTAGTGACCTTGTTGAATAATAGTTGAAAGAGAACAAGATGATTGAAAGGTAGAAGTACAATGTATTTAATAGCTATGTTAGTGAGACCGCGGGCACACCAAACAACCTAACTTCGTGTGAACGTACCTGCGTTGATTCTGAGCTACGAACATCTACTGATCGCAGCGGGGGACGCTTCGTATACCCCAATTCATTTATTTAGTTCAACAGCAACATTCCAAGCAATGGCAATGCAACAATGAACATATCGGTTTGCTAGTTCATCAACAACATTCCAAGCTTTGTCAATACAACAATAAACATATCAGAAGTAGGGTGTTAATAAACTCAACCAAATTGTATAGGAGTGTACATTGCGTGGCTGTATCCGAAGGCCAAACAGTTTGACCATCTGTGTATGATGCGTACATCCTGCTCAAACGCCACGCTGTCATGTACCTGGCCCAAAATGAATTTGGCGAACGTCCAATACCATTGGACGTCGTGACATGCGTACGTGATTGGCTCGGTACGCCAGTTTCGCACGTGAGGCGACATGTCCCACCCAGGGTGACTGTACCTAATCGACATTGAACAGGCTAGTGAATCTGCGTGCGAGCAGTCATAAGCAGGGTGATTGGTCGATTGGACGCATCCCAGATTATTGACAGTGGCGCGCAACCAATCGGAGGTGTACCTTTCGCCACTGGACCAACATTTATCCCCCTCAAAGCTTCTTGCTCGAATCACATGACTGGCACATAAGGGCGCAGCTGTCCTCAGTACCTTGTCAATCCTTCCCGTTGAGCAAACTCGGTTCCCGGATCTAGTTTCCATAACGTAGCACAGTACCCGGAATGGGGCGCAAGCGTAAGGGACAGTCCCTTAACGAGTGCCCAAAGGACCTCAATGAAATACCTTACATCCGCTGGATCAACGACCAGATCGCAAAAAACCGACCATTGACGGGCATACGGCCGCCGCATGCGGGTGACGGGCAGGGTTCCAGTGCACCTTCTCCCAGCTCGGGTCCTTCGCGCGTGCGCAGGCAGCCTACCAGAACCGCCGCACCAGTACGTCAGTTTGCGGAGAAAGAAGTTGACGACGACGAGGATGACGAGTACGAAGGCGAGGCCGAAGGCACCGACGAAGAGGATGTCGAGCCTGAAGATCTTGGCATGTCCCCTACCGACGATGACGGCGACGACGACGACGCACGCGGCGACGCGGCGGGGCATGCGCAACCCGTGATTGCCCCGCCGAAACGGAGCTCCGCACGCGGGGTTGGCGCAAGGAAAGGCAAAGGCAAGGCGGTTGCACCACCGCCTCGGCAGGAGGCCCGGAAGAAGCGGGCCGCTGCACCGGTCGAGAGGGGAGCGTGGACTGACAAGGAAAGCACTATTTTGGCCGCGGCTCAGTGGTATACCAAAGATAAGCTCGATCCACTCAAGGGCAAGCAGGGAACGCGATACTGGGTCAGCCTGCTCGAACACATCACGGGGGCTAATCCGGGTTGGTGCAGGAATGTCAATGCTCTGCAGAAGCAGTGGCGCAACTTGACGGTTGCGTGGGACGAGTACAAACAAATGGATCACGAGGGCCAGTCTTCCTATGAGAAACCGCCGTGGTGGCCATACATGGAGCTATACAACTTATCCACCGGAGCATCCGGTGCGCACGGAGTTGACGGAGGCGGCGACACGAACGCCAACAAGGTGGCCGGCATGGATGTACCAAGCTCCTCTCAGCCTGTCACGTCGACACCTACCTTCACAGGTGTGAGCCTTGTGGGTTTATGAGTGTGAGACCACAGCGAACATTTGGGTGAAACCATCATGCACATGCAATCTCGAACATGCAATCTCATGGTGTTTCAATTCCACTTCTCATAACATGCGTTTGGACTTGCAACATGGCCCTGCAATCTCACACCATGCGTGCAACATTACGTCCCTGTCACAGCTCCGCCGCCGCAAACCACGGCTACACCTAGGCGCGCCCGGGTGCATGAGACGGCGACGATGCAAGCCGCCTTGCTTGTCTGCGCGACCATCAAAGAATGTCATGTGGACGCACTCTCACGCATCGAGGGACTCGCCCGTGAGTGGATGGCGCAGGATTTGCGCATTGCCCGCGAGCGAATGGCGCTATCAGCGCCATCCCATGTGCACGTTGGAGGGAATAGCCCCATACAGCCTCCAACACGCGGGGAGTCTGCACCGCCTCCCGATCATCGTGCGCCCACCACCGCTGGAGGCGTTGCCGGCGTGCTCCACGGCGAAGCCGCGGACATAGTGACGGAAACTCATGGGGATCAACCTGCCCAGTTATGGGTGCGCGATGACGACGACTAGAGTAAGATTCATGCATCGGTTGGTCATGTCTTGCTCGGGTTCACTGTACTAACATTTGCCCTGTTTACGCACGTGTTGAGCAGGAACACTACATGCCTGGCTCAAGAGAGGATGTTGCATAACCACTCCGCACGTAGCGTTCACTGGTGGGGCGCCATCTACTTTGGGAGGTGCCGTTGCACCTCTTCCCAGCCATGCGAGTTTAGCTCTCTGTGTGGCTTCGTGTCACCCTTTGTTTTTAACCGTCCTTCACTTTTGAGGGCCCACTGGTGTGGTAACATAGTTGTCGCGCGGGGCAAGCACTGGTTGTAGGCGGGAATCTGTGAGCGTGGACTGACCTTGCCTTAGCATGTTTGGAAACGGTCCTGCAACAACCTTGCCTATACCCAATTGCAAAACTAAATGGCACCGTGGGATTCAAGGTTTTGTGTGACCAGGGTATGCCGTTTTAACGTTGTGTGTTTTAAGGTCGTTCCATTTTGTTGCGCTAATGAACACAAACCAAACAAGTTCACGCAAGCAGACACACCGATCGATAGTGTATTTCCGCACGTTTTGAGATCCGGCTCCGTTAGGCGTGCCAATACTTGTTAGCGCTGTGCTATTTATTTTGTTACTAAACGTAATGACACATCCGAACGCGCGTCTCAAGGTTCAATACAACTGATACAAGGCTGCGACGTACACTTGGCACGTCCCCTCGAATGATTCGCGGTGTTATCCACGTGGACCGTGATATGTCGTGGAATTCGTCAGGCTAATATCCGATTAACGCTGTGCGTTAATTAACATACCGGTCGCCCTACCGCTCCGGTTGATGCTCCCGCAAATAAACATCGCAGTATATTCGATTCTGGTCCCATGCGAACTATGGGTTTTATGAGCCTGCGGCATGCACTGGTTGTAGAGGGTAATGGGGCACGAATGACCTGGTTAGGTAGTATGAGCATGCATCATGTGCCCCTGGGCGTTGTTTGTGTTAAACAACATCTGGATCATTAACGAAAAAGCTTCGGTGTTTTTTTTCGTTTGTTCAGGACGTTCGTGTTTGTAACTGTTAATTACGATCTTGTTCAACAACCAACCCGATTTCCGATTACACAACTCGTACGGTCTCAGATTTTTAGCATTTCGCGTAAGTACTGCTCTGCTCGATGGGGTCCCAAACATATGTGAGCAAAGGAGATCATTGGGGTTGCAGGCCGTTGGTCTTATATTTTTTAGCATCGAAGGTTTGTTAGATGATCTTCTCTACCAAATAACAAATTCTTACGTAGCACTATTACGTAATCCAACTTGTCAACCCTAAGACCCCTACAGATGTGGGCTAGCTAGGTGCCGAACCACACATGCCAGCTACATTATAAATTTATGGCGACCACTATTCTAATGTACGACATTGCGGCATGGTGCTCCAAGCCTAGTACGATCACCAAAGCTCAACCTACCGTGTGGTACACACCTCCCGCAGCCCTGTCGGATCCATACTTCTGGGTGCATGTCGCTGAGTTGTGGTTACGCCCCAAGCAGGTGCGGCAGCGATAGTTCGCCGGCGGAGCATCCCTGCGCCTGTTGGACGGGGGACGGCCAGGACCCCTACGAGTGAATGTAGGTGCGTCACACACGCCCTGAGGCACAGGTGTTGTCTGTGCCATCAGGGTGTCGATGCAGGTACCGGGAATGGCGTGGGAGTATGTTACGCGGAGGTTGACTGTGGTGTAGTAGTCGCTGACATACTCCCACCCGTTTTTGTTCGCCATGGGGAAAAACGCCATGGCATGTGCGCATGGAAAAGCGTACTCTTTCCAATTGCCGCACTCACAGCTACCCTCGCCACGTAGGTCGACGTTGTAGCTTCGGGAGGTGGTGTCCTCCGCGTTGCCGTTGTTTATCACCTCCGCAAGGAACTCGATGTGGGAGATTTTCACCTCGTAGTTCTTTGCCCGCTCGCACTTCGCCTCATATCGTTTTCTCCCCCACTCCGTTAAGTAGTCGTCCCGGGCTCTAGCCTCCTCACGCCGCTCGTGAAACTTTTTGACGTTGTAGTCCCACATTGAAGCTAACAGATACGCTGGTGGAAGGCGGCGGATCGATTTTACGGCCCCGTTGGTCAACTCCGCCATGTTGCTCGTGTAGATGCCGAATCTCCGCGTTGGGGCCGCACATCGAGCCCATTGCTTCTCGTACACCCAGATTCTGTTCCTGCGTGCAGCGTAGTCACCGCGAAGGCCGGTTCGGACCCGGACGCCATCCTCACCGTCCTCCAGGGAGCCCTCTTCCACGACGGTCGCCTCGTTCTCTACCACGCTGGGAATAGCCTCGTTGGTGTTCCCAACCGCGGGTCCCGGGTCCACAGTTGTAGGAGGAGTGTCACGTGTTGCTGCCGCGGTCGGTGGTGGCTGGCGGGCGGGTGCAGCGGTCGGTGGTGGCTGGCGGGCGGGCGCCGCGGTCGGTGGTGGCTGGCGGGCGGGTGCCGCGGTCGGAGGTGGCTCTCGGGTTGGTGCCTCAGTTGGTGCGGTGACTCCCGGGACCGCAGCTCTCAGAACAATGTTGCCAAAGTTGAAGCACGCAGCTGTTCCTCGCCATCCGCTTGGCACCACGATCGGTGTAGAACGTCGCAGTGTAGGTGGCGCCGGCTGGGAAGAAGAAGGTGTGGTTGTTCCGGCAAGATGGGCTGCAACATGGACACGGGAAAGGCCGTTCTGGCTATGTGAGTTGCTGTACCAACTGCGCAGTACTCTATCAAGTTAAGACGCCAGAGAGTGTACGAGCGCTCACACAAACGGTGGCGTGAGTACGGGTTGCATATAGTCGTCACGAGCACACATAACAACAGGAAGGGCGTATTGACAACACGTTATTCAAACGCACCTGTTGCATCAGATGGGTCGTACGGAGTGGTTGGTGACGTCGTTGTGGATGGTCCTTCAGTAGTGTCCGGGCAAGGGGTTGCGGTGGGCATCGGGTCTGCGGGTCCACATGGCGATGCGGAAGATGCTGGTGCAGCTGAAGGGTGGGTCGCAGAAGCGCGGGACGGTGCTGCGTATGGGGGTGGCGCTGCGGACGGCCCTGGTGCTGCCGATGGGCTTGCCGACTCGGATGATGCATGTGCCTCGGATGTGCGTGTCGCTGAAGCGGGCGACGGTGCCGTGGACGGAAGGGGCGCAGCTGGGGGCCCGGGCGCGGCAGATGGGCCTGGCGTGGCGGATGATGCATGTGCTGCGGCTGGGCGGGTCGCTGCAGCGGGCGACGGTGCTGTGGAAGGGCGGGGCGCTGCGGACGGCCCTGGCGTTGCAGCTGGGCCTGGCGTGGCGGATGATGCATGTGCCGCTGCTGGGCGGGTCGCAGCAGCGGGCGACGGTGCTGTGGAAGGGCGGGGCGCTGCGGACGGCCCTGGCGTTGCAGACGGGCCTGGCGTGGCGGATGATGCATGTGCAGCGGCGGGGCGGGTCGCAGCAGCAGGCGACGGTGCTGTGGACGGCCGAGGCGCTCCAGACGGCCCCGCCACCGCGGCATTCGGAGGTGGTCGTCCTGCGCCGCTCTGTCTCTGTCGGCGGCCGCTTCGCTGCGACAGTGCCTGGCGAGCACGACGCCGTGCTTCAGCCGCTTCGGCCGCAATGTTGTTGGCGGTCGCACGCGTCCGGCGTGTTTGCTGCACGTTGCGGCGGCGAATACGGAAACCAGCTGGTGGAGTGGGGTTTGGACCGACCGCGTCGGCAACAGGCGCCGGACCGTAGAGGTAAGTCGTGAGCAGGGGATGGGATTCCCGTGCACCGACCTTGAGCTCGTTGTACTTCTCCAATGTCTGGGCTGTCAAAAGCCGCCACAACATGTCCGAGGAGGTCTTCCCGAACCGCTTCACGTTCTGCTGCATGTGCCACCCACAAAAGTAGTGCGGAGTCTCAGGGAACACTTCCTTCACCGCCGGGATGAGACCTTTGTCCCGGTCACTGATGATGGCCGCGTCGTCCCGTCCCTTCCAGACGGAGCAGTGCTTGTCAAAGAGACGGCAAAACCACGTCCATGTGTCCTTGGTTTCGCTCTCTACGAGGGCCCACGCGATGGGGATGATCTGCTGATTGTCGTCCATCGCGTTGGCGTACAGCAGGGTAGCCTTTTGAGCACGGATCAGGAACGTCCCGTCCATTGCGATGACAGGCCTGCAGGTCTTCAGCGCTTCGCGTGTTGCACTCGGCGCCATGAAGAAGCGGAGAAATTCGTGGTTGTACGTCAGAAGCTCCACGGTTGCTCCTCTGTCGATCCGCCGAATGCGCTCTTGCACCGCCGGAATTTAGCGGAAAGACTCGCACCAGTCGCCGAATCGCTGCGCCGTGATGCCTACCTTCAGCCTGCGTGGGAGGAATGTATGGGTGGTATCGGTCACGACATGAGTGAAGTGGAGGCAACACTGGCTGTAACAGAGAAGATCCCCTGATGTACGGCCTATGACGGGTGTACTCTCACCGGTAGGCGTTGTTGTAAGTTAACTTCGGGCCATAGCAGGCCTGGATCTGCTTGGCGTAGTCCCAAGGGGCGTTAAACGGCGCTGCACGGACGAAGTTGCCGAATTTCCGCCAAAGGTACTTCCTCTTACGTCCCATACCCGGCCACCACCGGGCCCGCATGCGGCGGTCGCATGTGTGCTCTGCGGGATCGGACAGCTCCACGATTCGCCACGGTCCGTTCCGCTGGAGACGCGCGTAGCTGCACCGCCATGGACAAGGGGGGTCCAACCCAAGCTTCTGACTCTTGCACAATGCTAGCGCCGATGCCTTCCTGGTAGACTTCATGTAGAAACCGTATTTATGAGTCACCGCAGCATCAAGCAAAGCATAGAGGCAATGATCCCGCGAGGAGTACCAGTTACCCTCCTCAATGGCAGCGTTGTCATTGGTAGTAGGCCCCTCTTCGGGTTCAAACTCGACGTCGAAGTTCTCCAGTATAATGTCATACATGTCACGGCCATTAGCCGGAGGTTCCTCCATCGTGTATCTGATACAACACCTAGGTTATCCCCTCGCTATAAGTACATGGTCATCTGGTGGCCTCGCTTCTTAACGGCGAGACGCCAACACATGTGTACGCCATGTAGAACTGTCTCTGGTGAGACGACTACGGTGGACACGGAAACCCTGACAATTCGTACAACAGCTAGGAACAACAATAATTCAGTTGACAGTCCCAGGTGCCAACTTACTGGCAGCGGCTGCCACCGGTGCGAATCGTCAGAACTCGCGGCGCCTGAATCGTGTTATGTTCGCTGGCGCGTTTATTATCAGATTCTGAACACACTGTACCCAATCAAACGTCGCCTTGTGGCATGTTTATGGTAAAAGTCTCGCGATGATGGCAAAATTACACGGATCGTTCAAAAACACGCAGATCGCCCGCCAACACAACGATTCGCGTGCATTCTTGCATGACGTGTCTGACGCAAGTACTTGCACGTGGAATCTAGTTCAGAACGTCAGAATCGAACCGAGTCGCCCGATAGATGAAGTTGTGTAGCGCAGGGTCCACGTTACGTTTATGTAGAACCGCGTGGCACGCCCGAAAGAATGGCTAAATAACACTCGCCAGTCTTGTTTCGCCACGTTCAACCCCACAAACCTCCATTCCCCCAAAGTTCTGAACCGAAACTGATTGCCGAACCTGGACGCGCCACACATACGCCGAACCGACTTCATCAGTGTCAGGAACGAAATGCCCAATAGGATGAAACTACGTGGCAGGTGAGCTCGATGTCAACCAGCAAACTGCCCACCGACATTTTGGAACCCCCGAAAAAAAGGCCTTATGGTGTTTAAATGAAGCTAAATCTGGGGACCGCGCGCCGCTCGCGATAAAAGGTGGGACGTGTGCCTTTTGGGTTGTGTAAAAATTTTAGCGCGATGAAAAAAATTCGCGAGACCTAAACCCGCGCCGCGGCAATTCTCTCGGTCTTGGCCTACAGGGTAGTGGTTGGTTGGCTTGGTTTGGGTGGAACCGAGAGCAGAATTGCATGAGAAAAGAAATATCGCCCCTCGTTGGGAAAGAGGGGCGATTTTGTACTTTCGCACGGCGTCGCAAATCGCCCCTACCACCCTCATCTTCTGTTACTCAGTTTGCCCTTCCTGTTCGTCCGCTTTTGGTTTGTCTCCAACCAGGCACACCTCCTCCTCATCTCTTCCTCTTCGCATCCATGGTTCATCTCATCATCCATTTAAAGCCAGGGTCTCAAGTAAGCTAAGGAGCTGTCAACTGCTTTGCAGTTGAAGCTAGGTTACCTAGTTATTGCAGACGAAGTTCTTTCTGGTTGGTTTGGAAAATCAGCGTGCGACACACCCCGTCAGTGCCCCAGAAGCGATTGCACAACACTTTTGGGTACTTGAGACTTTCGATGAGTTGGGGGCATCTTAGGTTTGGTTCCGAACCAAGTTTCCAAGCCTAGAAGGTTCGGATACACCCAACGATTTGCGTTCGCTTCGCACCCCTCGCTTCTCCCCACTTCAAACCTTTCACCTCGCCAACCAATCACAGCCCAACTTTCAACAGCAACTGCAAAACACTCGTAGTACTTGAGACCCTGGCTTTAAGGGTGGTTGTGAATGGGTGCTCTGCCCTGCCAAACCATTGCCTTGCCATGCCACTCTCCCGCTCTCGAACCACACAATCCGTACTAGTAGTAGGTTCTCTTTTCTTGCTACTCATTCCCACAAAAAACGGCCCATGAAATCATAGACGCACGACCGCTAACACATTCCGTTTTGCTGGTAATTACGTCAACACATTTCCTTCATTTCGTTCAGAGCCAATAGAAGCTAATTTCTTAGGCGCCACAAAAGCCGCTAGGAGCTGCTCCCATGGCTGCCGGCTATTACGGCGTAACGACAGCGGCGCCATTGCTGGCGCGTTCATCGGCAGTGCGTCAGAATGGCCGTTAGCGCAAGATACGCAAGGACCGCGTTTCGATCAAACATCGCACGTTTAAACATGAACCAGTCGCTTAGACCTTTAAAATGATTCATTTCAAGGCCTAGCTCTTAGCGCGTAGCATTTCGCGCTACTCAGTCTGTTGACATACACGTTTTAAAAAACCGCATACAACTATCTAGGACTCAGCTTTGGCGCGCTGCGTATTGCCACCGCGAGCCCGCTACTGGATTCCTTCGCATACGCGTTAGGAAGATAGCCGTTTTCTGTTTCAACAATGTTTCGCGTGGGAGCGCCCACTAACGCAGGCGGCGGCTCGTTCGCGCAGTCGATTATGGGGCAGCGGCGCGTGTATGCCGGTCGCGGTTCGCCGATAACGACAGCGCACGCCGGAAGCAACTCGCCCGTGGCGACAGCGTACGCTGGTAATGGCCTCATCGCCGATTCGCCAGTACGCACCAATCGCGGCCGCCATGGCGATACCAAGGTGACTCGACATTTAGAAGAAAAGAGCCTCCATGACTCGCCGCAAGTCGCGGAGAGCAAACCCCACATGTCGGAGTCGCAAGTCGATTCGCTGCAGGCGCCGCGAAGGAGCGTGGACGACGACGTGGCTCGCGCTGACGGTGACGTGGCGGCGTCCATTGATGACGTGGGAATGGAGGAGGATGACGCGCACTCGGCGGCAGAATCGTTTTTTACCGACGGAGGGTCTACCGCGAGTCCTTATCATTACTTCCCGGCACGAACGGGCGGAGAGGGAGGAACGTTTAACCAAAGCCCTTACCACTACTTCGCGTCAGGAGCGGGCGGAGAAAGGGGAGAGGGAGGAGGAGGAGAAAGAAGAGAAAGTGGAGCGTTCACCGCGAGTCCTTACCATCGCCTTTCGAAAGCGACGGGAGGAGAGGGAGTTGCGTCAACCAGTAACGGTTTCCGTTTGTCTGTTGACGGAAGGGGAGAGGAGGGAGGGGAGAGAGGAGGGGGAGGAGGCGAGGGAGGGGGCGGAGAGGAGAGCGAGGGGGGAGGAGGTGAGGGGAGGGGAGAGGCACCAACAGGAGGGTTCATGGATTCTGCAGGGGCAGAAAAATGGGGACCAGCGGAAGGGGCAGCAGCGGGAGGAGGATCAGCAGCGGCGGCGGCGGCAGGGGCAGCAATGGGAGGTCTAGACCTTGCAACTATAGCATTGGAAGGGGAGGGAGAGGGGGAGGAGGAAGAGAAGGGGAATTTGAATGGAAATGGGAGTGGGGAGGACGAGGGGGAGGGAAAAGGGAGGGAGTTTGATAACGTAAGTGACGATATGACTCTAGACCTTGTGAGTATAGCGATGGATGGGGAGGGGGAGGGGGATACCTCTGACGAGGAGGAAGAAAATCGGATCTTCTCGCAACGAGGCAATTTGGGCGGCAACGGCGAAATCGGCTGGGCAGTGAAAGGAGAGTTCCCGGAATTGGGAGCAATGAGGGGCAGCAGCTTCCTGGAAAGTGCGTTTGTGAGCGGGCGGGCGAAGCAGCAGCTGAGTCTGTCCAGCATTCTGGCGAGTGGGTTTGGGAGCACTGCGGCCGGCACTGCGGGCGGCAGTGTGGGCGGCTGTGTGGGCGGCAGTGTGGGCGGCTGTGTGGATGGTGCAGCGGTTGGGAATAGCTCTGCTGTTGCAAAGTTGGTTCAGGAGCTTAAGGTGAGAGAATGAGGAAATTGTGTGTGTGGGGGGGGGGGGGGGGGGGGGGGGGGGAGAAGGTGTGTGTGTGTGTGTGTGTGCGTGTGCGTGTGCGTGCGTGCGTGTGTGTGTGTGGATGGAGTAACGAGTACACACTTACATGCACTCTCCCTCTTCTGCTGCCACGCCTGCAGGACTCCCAGGCTCGGAATGTTGAAGCTGAGGCTCGGATCCGCGAGGCCGAAGCACAGAAAAGGGACCTGAGAGCGGACTTGACCAAGTCTGAGGCTCGGCAGCGAGAGCTGGAGGTTCGGCACGAAGCTGCACAGGCTCGGATGCAGCAGATGAGGAAGCAGCTGGCGGAAACACAGGGGGAGCTTTTCCAAGCGCGGCTGGAAGCAGGGGGAAGGGGGAAGGGCGCGGAAGGGGGAGGCGGAGGGGAGAAGGGGGAAGGCGCGGGGGGAGGAGGGGGGGAAGGGGGAAAGCGGAAGAGCCCCCTGGGGGGAATAGGGCGCGCGCATGTGACAGGGGGGTATGCTTCCGCCATGGCTAAGCTTATAGAGGAGATGCAGGAGTGTGAGGCTCGGCACGCCGAGGCTGAGGCTCGGTACAAGGACGCGGAGGCTCGGGTCAAGGAGTCGGAGGCTCGGAACAGGCTCGGGGAGGTTCGGCACAAGGCGGCGACGCAGTGGCTGGAGATGACGGAGCAGCGGTTGGTGCTGACTCAGCGCCAGCTCAGCGAAGCCCGGAGTGAGCTGGCAGCGGGGAAGAAACAGCTGGAAAGCGTAAAACGAGAGCTGGCGGGGGAGAGGGCGAGGGCGGGGGAAGTGGAGGGGCAAGTGGGGAGGCTGAGGGGGGAGATTGTGCGGATGCAGGGGGAATTGGAGCGGGAGAGGGGAGAGGTGGGGAGGGTTCGGGCGGAAGGGGAGGAGCTGAGGAGGAAAATCGCTGCTGCCGAATCGGAATTGAAACACACCATGGTAGGTTGAGTGCGGTGGGTGAATGGGGAAGGTGCAGAGGGCCAAAGGGAAACGGCAGGAACATTGCTGCTGCAACTGGGTATGGGTGGATGAGACGGATGGGGGAGGGAGACAGTTGTGACTTTTGAGGCGCCTCAAAAGGGCAGGAAGTTTGCTGCTGCAGATGTGTATGGGTGGATGAGACGAATGGGGGAGGGGGACGGTTGTGGGGAGGCTGAATTGTGTTTGCGCGTTCCCTCTTCCCCTATCAGTCACCTCTCTTTCCCTTTCTCCTCACCAATAAGCCTCCCTTTCAAGTGTTTTGAGTTGACTCAAAACACCTCTCTTTCCCTTCCTCCTGACCAACAAGCCTACCTTTCTCTCTCGTGTCCCACTTTCCTCCCCGTACCTCCCTTTCCCTCCCCTCCCCCCCCTCCTCCCCCCCCCCCCGCCCCCGCCGTATCACCCCCAACAGGCGCAGGTGCAGCAGGAGCAGCAGCGGGCGGAGGAGGCAGCAGAGGCGATGGGGGAGATGAGCAGGCGCGTGGCGGAGAGGGTGGAGGAGGAGCGGGTGTTGCGGGCGGAAATTGAAGCAGCTGCCGTGAGAAGGGTGGAGGAGCTAGAGAGAGAGGTGAGTGCAGCAGTGCGGATGGGTTGGGAGGGGTACGGGCGGGTGTGCATGGGTATGGGTGGATTTAAAAGGGTGTGAATGGGTGTGCGAGTGGCTGAGAAGTGGAAGGAGGGTGGCGGAGAGGGTGGAGGAGGAGAGGGTTCTGAGGGCGGAGATTGAAGCAGCTGCTGTGAGAAGGGTCGAGGAGCTAGAGAGAGAGGTGAGTACAGCGGTGTGGAATGGTGTGGATGGGTGCAGGTGGGTGTGAGTGGTTGAGAAGTGTAGTGGACAAGGGAGGTTGAGGGGAGGGTGGAGGGGGAGAGGGTTCTGAGGGCTAAGATGCTGCCGTGACAAGGGTTGAGGAGCTAGAGGGAGAGTTGAGTGCATTGGTGTGGATGGGTGTGGATGGGTTGGTAGGGCTACGGATGGATGCCTTTTTTTCAGTGCTCTCTCAATCTTCTGCTCTTCCCACCTCTCTCTCAATCTTCTGCTCTTCCCACCTCTCTCTCAATCTTCTGCTCTTCCCACCTCTCTCTCAATCTTCTGCTCTTCCCACCTCTCTCTCAATCTTCTGCTCTTCCCACCTCTCTCTCAATCTTCTGCTCTCCCCACCTCTCTCTCAATCTTCTGCTCTCCCCACCTCTCTCTCTCTCCAACCTCTCTTCTGTTGTCTTCTACCCCTCTCTGCCCTCCCTTCCCAGTTGGACTCGTTAAAAGCTGACTCGTTACAGCGGTTGAAGGCTCTGCAGTGTGAACTGGAAGGGAGAGAGCAGCAGGAGAGGGAGAGAGAGAGGGAAAGGGAGAAGGAAAAGGAGAGAGAGAGGGCTGAGGAGAGGGAGAGAGAGGGGAGGCAGATGGAGGTGAAGTGGAGAGAGGCTGAGGAGGGAAGATCTCGGGCAGAAGAAGCCCTGAGAGGGGCAGAAGAAAGTTTGAAGCGGGCAGAGGAGGAGAGGACAGCAGCCGAAGATTCAAAGAAGCGGGCACAGGAGGAAAAAACAGCAGCAGATGAGGCGAAAAAACGGGCAGAGAGGGGGAAGAGGCGAGTTGAGTCAGAGAGAAAGGAGGCAGTTGAAGAGAGGGAGAGGCTTAAAGAGGAAAAGGAGAAACTTATAGAGGAGAGAGATCAAGTAGTGAAGGAGAGAGACAGAGCTGTAAAGGAAAGAGAGGAGGCTATAGGCCGAGCAAGGACGGCTGAAGAAGGAAAGGAGGTGGCAGAAAGGAAGGTGAAGGAGGGTGAGGAGCGGTTGAGAGTGGTGGAGGAGAGAGTGAGGGAGTTGCAAGTGAGGGAGAAGAAATTGGAGGACGAGGGGAAGAGGTGGAGGGATTCGTGAGGTGGGGAGGGAGAGGGATGGAGTGGTGAGTGAGAAAGAGAGGCTGGAGGAGAGAGTGAGGGGGCTTGAGAGAGAGAAAGGGAAGGCGGAGCAGTGGGCAGAGGAGGTTAGGAGAGAGAGGGAGGAGATTGGAAAGCGGGTAGATGAGATGTTGAAGAGTAAGGGAGAGTTGAAGAGGAGGTTGGAAGAGGTAGTGAGGGGAAGAGGGGAGGGAGATAGGGAGAGGGATAGGGTGATTGAGGAGAAATGGGCGGTTGAGCAGAGTCTGGCATTTGTGACTGTAGAGAAGGAAGAGGTTGAGTGGAAGTGTGCTTGTATTGAAAGGGAGAAGAAAGAGATTGAGGAAGCCAAGGGTGTGATTGAAACGAGGGCTGCCGGGGCTGAGAAAGAGGTGCGTTTGTTGCAGTCACAGAAAGGAGAGATGGAAAGACAGGTGCTTTTGTTACAGTCACAAATGAATGAGTTGCAGCAGAAAGTGCTTTCGTTAGAGTCACAAAAGAGTGAGCTGGAGGGGAGGGTGGGCGAGAGGGAGAGGCGAGTGAAGGACCTGGAGGGGACCTTGCAGCAGAGGGCTCAGGAGATTTCAACAAAAGCCCAGGAGATTTTGCAGAAGGCTCAGGTGGTTTCTCAGGTGCAGCAGGAGATAGGGAAGCTGAAGAAAGGAATGAGGGAGAAGGAGAGGGAGTTGGGGAGAATGGAGAGAGAAGGGAAGGAGAGAGAGGGGAGGGTGGTTGAAATGGAAAGGCGGTTGGGGGAGAGGGAAAAGGAGATAGGGGAGATGAGGGAGAGGATGGAAGGGAAAGGGAAAGAGATTGCTGTTTTGGAAGGAAGATTGAAGGAGCAGGAGGAAGCGGTTGAAGGGTTTGCAGCTCGGTTGAGAGAGGAGGAGGAGATTAGTGAGTTGAAGAGCAGAGTGGAAGGGAGAGAGAGGGTGATTGGAAGCCTAGAGGCTGATGTGAGGAGCAAGGGAGAGGAGATATGTGTGTTGAAGAGTGGATTGGAAGAGAGGGAGAGGGTGGTGGGAGAGATGGCAGCAGTGGTGGCAGAGAGGGAACGAGCAGTGAAAGAGTTGAAAGAGCAGGTGGGGAAGAGCAAGAGGGAGGCAGACGGTTTAAAGGCGGAGGTAAGGGAGCGAGAGAGGGAGATTGCTGACTTGCAATTGGCTTTAAGCGAAGCACAGGCGGCTTATAACGAGTCGCAAGACGCTTTAGAGAGGACAAGGGGGTTCCTGAGTGTGTCTGAGCAGGCGCTAGGCGACACCAGGTTGGAATCTGCCGCCCTGAAGGAGCACCTGGCGGACCTGGAAAAACACCTGGCGGCAACAGAGAGGCAGGTGGGCGCGAAAGACGAGCACCTGAGCGGGATTGCAAGGCACCTGGCGGCCACAACAGAAGACCTGGCTGCTGTTCAGGCTGACCGGGCGGCGGCACATGAGGAGGCGGAGAGGTTACGAGGAGAGGTGGAGCGGTTGAGAGGAGAGGGAGAACGGTTGAGGGAAGAGGGGGAGGAAGCAAGAATGAAGCTAGAGAAGGCAGAGGAGGAGGGGGGTATGTTAAGAGAGGTGGTGGGGGATTTGAGAAAGAAGCTAGAGAGCGTGCAGGTGGCATGTGCAGCGGCACAAGAGGAGGGGGAGAGGTTACGAGGAGAGGTGGAGAGGTTGAGGGGAGATGGCGAGGAGCTGAGGGGACAGCTGGGGAGTGTTCTGCAAGAGAAGGAGAGTATAAAGAGGGAAGCTGGTGTGCTTAGAGAGGGGAAGACGGCTCTAGAGAGGGAAAGGGAGGAGCTGATAGGTGAAGTGGGCACGGTGAGAGGTGAAGTGGGGAAGGTAAGGGAGGTTCTTGCAGCAGCAGAAGCAGAGAAGAGGGATTTGGAAGAGAGGCTGAGAAGGACCGAGGAGGAGAGAGAGGAGGCGAGAAAGGGGCTTGATGTGTTGAGTAAGGAGGTGGAGAGGCAGTGTGTGGTGATCGCAGCTGGGGAAGAGGAGAGGGTTAGAGTGCAAGGGGAGTTAGGGAGGGTGGAGGAAGAGAGGAAGAGGGTTGAAGAAGAGGTGGGGGTGTTGAGGAGAGAGGAAGAAAGGCTTCAGGGGGAGGTTGAGAGGGTTTTAGAGGAGAAGGAACGAGCATTGGCGGAAGTGGAAAGGGTTTCTGGTGAGCTGGAGCAAGAGAGGTGTGAGATGGAGCGAGTATTGAGCGAGTTCAAGCATGTCTCGAGTGAATTAAGGCAAGAGAGGAGTGAGGTGGGGCGAGTATCGAGTGAACTGAAGCAAACTCGGGTTGATTTGGAAAGGTTGAGAGCGGCAATGGGGAGTGCGGAGGAGAGAGCGAGGAGCGGGGAGGAGAAAGGGAGGGAGTTGGAAGAACGGTTGAGTCAGGTTGAGGCCGATGCAGAGCGGTTGAAAGAGGAGGTGGAGGGGCAGGAGAGGGAGAAAGAGGGGTTGCTGCAGCTGCTGGGGGAAGCGAGGGAGGGAGAGAGGGAGCTGGAATCACAGGTAGCACAGGCGAGGAAGGAGATAGAGAGAGTGAGGGAGGAGTGTGAGAGAGTGGAGGGGGAGAGGAAGAGAGAGGAGGAGAGGAGGGTGAGAGTGGAGAGCGAGAGGGATGAAGCGAAGAGGGAAGGAGAGAAGAGGGAGAAGGAGCTCAAGCAGGAATTGGAAAAAAGGGAACAAGATCTGAAAGTGTCAAGGAAAGAAGCAGAGGTGTTAAGAGGGGAAGTGATATGTGTAAGTGAGGAGTTGAGTGCGGTGAAAAGAGAGGTAGAGAAGAAGAAAAATGAGTTGGAGACGAAGAAAGGAGATCTTGAAGGTGTCAGGGGTGAGCTAGAGGGCAGAATCAAAGCTCTGGATACCACAAGAAGCAACCTGGAAGGTGCGAGGAACGATCTGGAGAGGAGCGAAAGGGAGCTGGAGGGAACCAGGGAGGAGTTGGAGAGGGTAAGGGGGGAGTTGGAGCGTGCTGAAAGGCATGGGAAGCAGCAGGAGGAGAGGGCTGCAGAGCTAGAGGGTCGACTGGGTGCGGCAGAGAAGAGAATAAACGAGAACGAGAGTACTCTGAGAGAGAAGCAGGGGATTATTGCGGGGCTTCAGGACCTGGTGGTGAGTCTGCAAGAAGGTAAAGAGGCATTGCGAGAGGATATGGAGGGGCGATTGGCGGAGGCGAACGAGAGTTTAAGTGCGAAAGAGAAGGTTATTTGTGAGAAGGGAGAGGAGATTGAGGGGCTTAGAGACCTAGTTGCAGGTTTGGAAGGGAGTAAGAAGGGGTTGGAGGAGGTGAGGAGGGTTTTGGAGGAGCGGATTGAGGGGTTGAGGGAGAGGATTGTGGAGGCTGAGAGGCGGGTGGATGAGGTGGAGAGGGAGAGGGATGACGTGGCGGCGAGGGCGGCTGCCAGAGTGGCGGAGGCCGAGGGTGACGTGGCAGAGAAGCGCGCTGAGCTGGCGCTGGCGAATCAGGAGCTGGTGGTGCGTGCGGGGCAGATTGCTGAGCTGTCGTCGCAACTGGATGATGCCAAGGCCACTGTGAAGGTGAGGACCTTTTTTCGAACCTGAAGGTGAGAAGGAGAGAAGAGAAGCCAGCCTATGTTATTGTCGGACAGTTGTTGGAAATTCCCCAAAAAGGACCTGAGCTGTCGTCACAATTGGAAGAGGCCAAGGCCACTGTGAAGGTGAGTAGGAGAGGTTCCCTACAACCCCCAGCCTTCCCTCCTCCCCCTCCCCTTCTCCCTCCCCAGCCTTTCCCCCTCCCCCTCCCCTCCCCCCTCCTCGCCTTCTTCCCCCTTCCCCCCCTCCCTTCCACTCTTGGTTCCCCCGCCTCTCTCATTTACCTCTCCGTTTCCTCCGTCTCCCCTTCCTCCTAACGACACAGCACCATGCGGATTGCATTCGAAAGCTTGACATGGTGTGTGCGGTGAGGGAGGAGGAGGAGGAGGAAAAAACGGTTCTATACTCCTTTCTCTCCTTTTATCTCCCCCACCCCTTCCCCCCACGCAAAGCATCATGCGGACCACATTCGGATGCTTGACATGGTGTGTGCGGTGAGGGAGGAGGAAACAATGTGGCTAGAGGAGGGAAGAGAATGGAGCGCATCTTTATCCCCCCCCTCCATTCCCCCAACCTTCCTCGCCATTGTTTTCCTGCTCTTCCCTCCAGCATCATTCGGACCGCATTCGAATGCTGGACATGGTGTGTGCGGTGAGGGAGGAGGAGATGAAGAAGCTAGAGGAGCAGCAAGGAGTGGCGAGGCAGGAGGCACTGGAGAGAGTAATGGAGCGGGACAAGCAGGTGGGTTGGCTCATGTGTGCTTGGTGGGATAAGGAGGTCTGTATAAGGTCTGGAGGAGCAGGGAGTACAAGGGAGGAGATAAAGAAGCTTGAGGAGCGGCAAGGCAGTAGGTGTTGGAGAGAGTAATGGAGTGGGACAAGCAGGTGGGTTGGCTGATATGGATTCATTGTCAGGGGTTTGGTGGTGTGTTGGTTGCTGGGGTGGGTGCGTGCTTGAGCAAGGGAGGAGGAAGGAGGAGCAGCAGGGGGCGGCGAGGCAGGAGGCGTTGGAGAGAGTAATGGATCGGGACAAACAGGTGGGTTGACTTTGATGGGTTGGCTTATGTGGAGTCACTGTCGTCAAGGGCCTGGTGGGATAAGGAGGTGTGTGTTTATGGTCTGGAGGAGCAGGGCTTATTAGGGAGGAAGAGCAGCTGGGGGCGGCGAGGCAGGAGGCGTAGGAGAGAGTAATGGACCGGGACAAACAGGTGGGTTGGCTTATGTGGATTCACTGTAAAGGTTTTGGTGGTGTGTTGGTTCTTGTGGCGGATGGGTGGGTGGGAGCTTGAGCAATGTAGGAGATGCCAAAGCTTGAGGCTTTATCAGGCGCCTCAAGAAAGGTGCAGCGAAACAGGGCGCAGAAAAACGAGGGGTAAGAGGGATACAGAGGTGTGGTGGCTGGGAGGGTTTGCTCTGTTGGGGGCTCCCATGTGCTCTGTGAAGGGAAGCAGGTGAAGGTGACTGAGAGGGGATGGAGCGAGAGGTGGAGAGGGATACAGAGGTGTCAAGGGCTTGATCCGAACCTGTGACATCTCACCCCAACCTAAGTCCTATTCCACCACTTCACACCAAATCCCATCCCATCCTATCCTACTCGATCCCACCCCACCCCACCCCATCCCACCCCACCCCACCCCATCCCACCCCACCCCATCCCATCTCATCATGTGCCACTTCCAACCCCTTCATCGACATCCCTACTTCCCATTTCATTCCATCCAGATCGCGGATCTGAGAGCCAAGCTGCAATCCGAGTCGTCCAATATCATTGATGCTCGAAACAGGTGAGAGCAGCAGCACTCAGTGAGAGCAGTGGGTCACTGAGTGAGTCAATGATTGTGTGAGTGGAGGAAGCAGCAGTGTGTGAGAGCAGCAACGGGTGAATGTGAGTGAGTGAGTGAGTGAGTGAGCGAGTGAGTGAGCGAGTGAGTGAGTGATAGCAAAAAGTACAAATGCAAGTGTGCCTATTCCACAGATGCTGTCTGTGATAGTCTCTGTCCTCAAACCAGACCATCTCTACCTGTCCGCTCTTCCCTCTACAGCAGCAGACAAAGACTTCTCTGAACTTACAAGCAGCAGCATATGGCACTGTACTTCGAGGCATTTGAAATCAAAAGCTTTCTGTGACTGCCCTTTTCCCACTGTCCCCACCAAACCCCCCTCCTTCTCTCTCCTTTTCTCTTACCTACCTCAGGATTCAGGCGTTGGAGCGAGCGAAGCAGCGCATGCAAACGTCATTGACAGATGCGCAGCAGCAAATAGCAGCAGCGATAAGGGAGAGGGATGAGGTGAAGGCAGAGATTGCAAAGCTGAGAGTGAAATGGGCTGTGCCGTCGCCTGCTGGGAACAACATTAAGCCGTCGGCTATTAAGGCAAAGCAGTTCCAGTGAACGGCAGGAGAACTGCTGAGATGGGATCCATAGAAGCAGTTGTACTAGGATACTACCTGTTTTACCCTACAGGGTTGTCTTGTCTCACTATTGTTTACATTCTTTCTTTCAACATGAATGAGCCATGTTAGGTGCACGTGCACCGTCTTAATTGCTGATCATACAGTGAAGATACTATCCCATGGATTAGAGATTGCCAGGCATAGTCGTACATATTTAAAATGACTGTTTGAATAAGTAGAGTAAGCACGTACATATATCGGGAATGTCTTTTAGCATTTGATTTGCATACGCACCTATATCGAGTGTTTCTCGTTGCTTCTTCTCCAGTCAATTCTTCGCTTCACATACTACTGTGTGAAAGCTGCCGAATTCTGTACTATTTGAAAGTCTAGTCCTTATTCTGTCGCCTATTAGTCATAATAGTCAAAGTCTCGTGCTCCAACCAGTCGCTACTAGTCGCTCAAGTTTCCAGATTTCACCCGAGCATGCCTCACGTACATATGTATAACGTGAATTACTGTGTCTTTTAGGATTTGATTCACATTCGCATCTATATCAAGCGCTTCTCGGCGCTTCTTCTCGGGTCGATTCTTCGCTTCACATACAACTGTGTCAAGGCCCCCTGAACCAAAATTCCGTACTATTTGGAAGTCTAGTCCCTACGCCGTCACTTATTAGTCATAACCGTTAGTCAAAGTTTCGTGCTACAACCAGTCGCTACTTGACGCTCAAAGTTTCCAGATTTCACCCGCAAGCATGCCTCACGTAATAGCAGTCACGAGTTGCTGTTTGCTGCATGTCAGTGAGTTTAGATGTGTCGCTCGATTTCGCATTTCTCTCGGGAGTCAATCCAGCTTCACGAGCCTTTACTTCGAGTTTCTCTCGACTCAAATCTCAACGGCTAGGTCAACAAGTCGTTGGGTTCTGCATCGATCCGCTGAATCCGTTCTGAAGTTTTCCTCACAGCAAGATTCATATCGGCAAGTTGTATTTCGACCGCAATGGTCGATTTTCCTATGTTTGACCGAAGGCGTATTCGAGGCTAAATACCTATTCACACCGTATGCGACATCGACCAGACGCGGTGCAACCTATCTCCATTAGTGTCCTTGAATCAGGATACACATCAGGATTCTCCTTCGCCTTTTTTCCCTTTCTCCTTTCCGCGATGTAAGGCGCATAATGCTTCTAGCTCACGGACGGAAGCGTGACAATTCGATAACCTCGGCCAGTTCTACTTCATCTGTCTGGCTTTCCTAAGGGTACACGAATGGAGAACAACACGGCTGCTACCGAAGAGCGGCTTACCGGGCTGCTGGATCTGACTCCCGAAATCCTTGCGTCTATAACGAGTATGACATGCTATCCGCTCCCAATCACCATTGCCAACCTAGCCATCACGTGCAAGCACCTGCACCGAATATCGACTTCCCACCTCTGGCCTCGCTACTGTCACATCCGCATACGAGAACATCACAGGTTTAGTCGCTTACAAGTTGATCCAACCAATCAGATCTCGACACATGAACGATCTTCTACTGCGAATGAGAGCGAAAAGTGTTGTTTTTCTGAAGTGTGTGCTGCCTGTAAAAGAGATCGTCCACTGATCCCGGGATTCCAAACACTGGTAGGTCCTGTCAAGGCAATTTCTCCGCGGCTTCTCAGCTACTCTCCCGGTATTCTCGAGGTACCCTTCAGCCTGGCCTCTGCAGATATCACGGAATTGTATCTTTGGCCGTCAGGACGGCAACGGCACCTACTACGCCACCGCGCTCAACCGACGCCGGTTCCACCAGAGAATGTCTCCGAAGCTGAAATTCGAGACGAAATCCGAGGTGAAACTGGAAATGAAACCGGTGGAACCCGAGGTGAAGCCCGAGGTGAAACCGGAGCTGAAACCATTGCTGCTGCTGGCGTGGGACCCCGCATGACGCTGTCAAGCATGTGCAAGCGTGTGGTGACTGCAGTGGGGTGGGCTTTCGAGGCGACTCACAAGTGGAGCTACCGCGCTGTAACCAAGGCTGCATTGGTAGGGCTCGTCCTGCTTTTGATTCCAATTTATCTGAGAGTCAAGGGCTTTCGGATTCTTTCCCGCTGTCCCAGGAGAGGCTGTCATTGTGCTTGCCGTGCTGCCAGGAAAGGGCTTTCCTATGTTTCTCGTGCTGCTAGTGAAGCTTTCAAGGGAGGGCTGCGGACAGCTCAAGGATTTATGCGAAGTACAGAAGCAACAGCAGTAGCAGCAGTAGCAGTAGCAATAGTAGCCACGGAAGAAGCAGAAACAGCAGCAGAAGCAGCACCAGCAGAGGCATCGGCAGCAGCTGTCAGAGAAGCACGAAGGAGAGCAAGGGTTTCTGAATCAGCAGGACGGATCAAAGCACCGGGTGTAGCAGAAGGGGGGTCCACCCACCAGAGAACCCTAGTTCCCATGCATCATTTGCCGAATGTAGATACCGTTGGGCAGTTGGTCACAGTAGCAGTTGCTGGATGTAGAGGCGAATTCACAGGCATTGGAGAGATGGAATCTGTACGTCAGCTGTATCTGTCTGAGGAGGTCGCTGCCACTAGCAACGCATGGTTTCTGCAGGGAGAAGGGCGGGAAGCAATGAAGAGGGTGAGGACGCATTACATGCTGAACAGGCGGTTTTTGGGTCTGTTTGGCCGCCTAGACGAATGCTTCTCGAACAATGTTAAGCTCAGCCCAGACCAGCTCTTTCGGTCAAGCCAGCTGAGAGCTTGTGCTGCCTCTGATGCTCCAGCAGCTGATTATCTCCCTCCACCTGACTGCCACACCCAAACTGACGGTCCTCCCCCTGCTGGCTGCTCCTCTCAAGCTGAGGAGGTGGGAGGAGTGTCGTTTGCTCTGCTTAAGCCACCTGCCAATTGGTGGGGTCTTTCCGTGTGCCGGGGCTACATTTCTGCCTTCACACGCACCAGGTAGTCAGCACAATCTCTTTCTCTTTGCACCTCCCTCACTCCCTCTCTGTCGCTGCCTTGCATGTCGTTCTATCCTTCCCAATATCCGTTCGCTATCCCACATTTCTGTACAAGTCTTGTACCCGTTAGCCATTCACCAGCTACAAGTCTTGTACTGCCTCATTCCTTTGCACCTCCATCGCTCTCTCCCCTTGCCTTCCTTGCTTCTCGTTCTATCCTTACCAAGTCCCCTTCGCCATCCCACATTTCTGCCTTTTCATTCACTAGCTACAGTAATCCCAGCTACAAGTCTAGCACTGCCTCGTTCCTTTGCACCTCCATCGCTCTCTCCCCTTGCCTTCCTTGCTTGTCTTCGCAAATTCTGACGAAGTGAGATTGTCCTTTGAACCACCTATGAGCTGTCCTAACTTATCAATTCTGCAGGCTCTATTGCAACCTCTCCTGTGGCCCTCTTGATGCAAAGGAGCAGTGTCCCTTCTACTATTGCAAGGTAAGTAGCACTTACATTTACGCGCTACGTTATTCCTTTTATGGATTTAGTACCAGTCTGGATGCAGCTAACAGTGGTTCTAGATACACCATCTCAGATCTCACTGCCTCATCATACTTCTCGTCGCATTGTCTCATATGGCCCGATATTGCATGTGAATTGCACACGTGCAGGTCTGGGATGCATTGGATCAGGTCACAAGCAGCCGCTTCATCTGCTTTGCTGTATGCACAAATGTGAGAATTCGTGCGCAGAGTTTTGCATATGGGATAAACTTCGCACAGACATTTGGTTGGTGTGGAGAAGTGGGGGAGGCAATGAGCCCAGTTTCAAAACCAAGATGCTTTCATATTTGATGCACTCACTAATTTCTGTTTGTATGTTTGTGCAGGGGCACCTTTGTGGAGTACTAAGGATGCCAAGGCCTGACTAGATGCTTACGAGCCGTTTGCCATTTTTCTATTGCCGCTACTCTGAGCAACATCAAGCCGTCAATTATTTGAAGCGAAGCAGTTGCTGAAGCAGCAAGATGAAAGCTTTAGGAAACAATAAGAATCTACTTACCTGTTTGACAAGGTTGCGTTTTATTGTTGATCATATGGTGTGGTGCACTGGTCTAGGCAGTAACTTTGGCTTGAAAGCTCTGTAAATTTCCAAAGTTGGATATGAGGATTGATACCTGGTACCAGTACATCAGCGGCGGTCGTTTTAGCAATTGATCATGTTTGGACTTACAGCGAGTACTTTCTGGGGGACAGCGTTTCCCAACGGTTCTTCTCCAGTCAATTCTTCGCTTCACATTAGGGCGCGTGTCTTTTGGTGTAGAAGTTCAAAAAAAAGGTCGAACTTTTGCTGGTAACCATCTTCGCCAATTTCGTTAAGAGCTGTTGACGACGATCGTGTGTCCAAGCTCAAAGTTGCCGAAACAGAAGGACACTGAACTAGGGTCGACCTCGCATTCGACTATCCCCGAGCACTTTTCTCCAATCGTGTGTTCTTCTGCCCACGCACGAAGAAGCTGCGAGCTTCGCGATGGTTACGAACAACGTCGCGCCAGGTTACCAAAGCTGAAAGTGTTAGCGAACTCCACTGTATAGACAGGGTAACATACGAAAGCTGGGCGCGACTCGGGTTTTACTGTACAAATTCGACCTCTGAAAGTCGAGCATTTCTTGTGCCATGTACTCCTCGTCAAGGTGAACACGCGACTCGACAAATGAATGACGAGATAGTCGACTACTGGTCGACCTGTGTTCATTTGCAAAAATTCGACCTAAAAACATGAACTTTGGCCTAGATTTCAAAAGACACGCGCCCTTACAGCACTTCTCCAGTCAAGTCCTTCAATCCAAACAAATTCAGTTCTATGAGGTCTCTAGTCTAGACTCTGGTTTCTTGGCTGTCGAACAGATCCTCATTCTGGTCCGATTTCCTTCGTACGCCTACCAGTCGCTGATTCTCGTGCACTTTTCTAGAGTTTTACCCGCAAGAATCCTTCGTGTATCAGCAGTCGCGCTCTGTCCTCAAGCTGTCGTGTGCAGCTCGTTAATGAGCGTAGTTCTACCACTCGATT